TTTCTCTCTTTTTGCCATTACTTTGTGATTGAGGCCTTCAAGCTCCTTTCTTCTAGTTCTTAATAAAATGTGTCACAGATTATTGTAAACTGTCATCCACAGTGTGTTGTAGGCACTAAAACTTATTCTATCTCTGTTTTAGTAACAAAATATGTTATTAAAGATGAATTAACACACACATGAAATTTGCACTAATTTCTTAAATTTATCTACAATTCATATTTAGGGTCACAGGGAAAGTAAGCTGACCTTTTCTCCCAATCAGGTAATGAAGTTACCCTGAGCACCATTAAAGGAACAGTTCATCTCTCTTCCACTTCTGCTGTCTCCTCTTGTTAAGCTAAATTCACAACACTTTGCACCAAAAGCATAGACTTGAAATATGGTATCTGAGCTGACTGTAATAATGCAACTCAGAAGAGCGGAAGGCATGGTTGGTAGGCAGCAGGATGTATATTTGCAAGTAGGGAAAGAGAAGGAAGGGCATTAAAAGCCTCTGTTGAATGTATATTCCTTTAAAAAAAACTTCCTTGTGTGTAGCTCACAAGTCACTAGCTCTTATGACATTTGGCTAAGGATGTATAGACCTTGCTTTCCTCATACATCATAATAACACATCTTATTATGCTGTGTACAGAAGAGCTAACCCATGTAAGGAACATGGGCTTTGGGGTTAATCAGCACCATGTCTTATTCCTGGCCTCACCACTATGTACCTACATGACCCAAAGTAAATTTGTTAATTGTCCAGCCTGTTTCCTAATCTGAAATATGTGCCAATTAATAATAATTAAAGTAATAGCACATTAGAAATTGTGCTAACTTTCCATTGCTGTAGCAAAATACTTGAAAAAAAACCCTTGAAATGTAGAAAGGCTTATTTTGGTTCACAGTTTCAGTCGATGCTTGCTTGGTCTGGTTGTTTTTGGACTTGTGGTAAGGTATAATATAATGAAAGTATGTGGTGAAGGAATACTATTCACTACATGGTGGCTGGGAAGCAAAGAGAGAGAGAGAAGAGGAGCTAGGGTTCCAATATTCCTTTGAAAGGCATGCCCTCAATGACCTAACTTCCACTGACTAGTCCTCACACCTCACACCACATCCTAACAGTGCCACAGGGCTGGAAACCAAGCCTTTAGCACATGGTCCTTTGGGGGCTGTTGTGGTTTGTGTCGAGATGTCCCCCCAAAGCCTCATGCAGTCAAGGAGGCTATCTTTTCAGAGGCACCTGAATCTAGAATTTGGGATTGGTTAATTATCTGTTGCTGGTATTAGTGGCATGAGTGCTACACCCACCCCAGGGCGGGTAGCCTGCATACAATATAAAGAGGAAAAAAGCCTTGCTCTCTCCTCCTTTGCTCTTGCTTTTTTTGCATTCTTGTGCCACCATGAACTGTTGCCCCTCAGCTGTGCCATCCTGCTTTGGAACCAGCTGAGTATGGACTGAAACCTGCACAAACTGTGAGCTAAATAAACTTTTCATTCCTCTACTTTGGGTGTCAGGTATTTTGTCCCAGGAACAAGAAAAGTAAGTAACACAGAAGCCATTTAAGAGGTAAACCGTAATAGAAATAGAAAGTAACAGTAATCCCTATCTTAAAGGAATTCATGTGAGGTTTAAAGAGTTAATGCATTTCTTAACTCTTCTTAGTGCATGTTTGTTGTACATAATGTTTACATTCCTTGTGTGGAGAGGGTACATGTACATGACACACCTTAATTCCTTATTTCATACCCTTATTTCATACTCTTTCCTCTTCCCTCCATCTCTTGATCCCGTTCGCATTTGAGAAAGATCTCTCTCCATACTTCATATTGTCTTTTATTTTGGTTTTTGTTTTTAATTTGGGTTTCTTATATAAGAGAAATTGTGCAATATTTAAGTTCATTTGATTTATTTCACTTAACATTATGGTCTCAAGGTACATTCATTTTCCTACAAGAAATTCCAAGTTATCTTTCTTTATGGCATAGTAGTACTCCATTGTCTGTAAATATCACATTTTCTTTATTCATTTAACTATTGATTGATATATAGGCTGCCTCCAAGATTTAAGAGCTAGTGCATTTAAAGGGTTTATTCAGGGTGCCTGGCTAAATCTTCAGTAAGTCACAGTTGCTGTGATTTTAATTTTTATCATTATGGTGTCATAATCAGGAAGAGAAACAAGGTTCAACGAAGAAGACTAAGATAGACATAAAAAGTATCTGAAAAGAGTACGCTATGAGATTAGTGCCATGGAAACAGGGAAAATAGTATCAAGAAGGACGGAGATAATTCAAAATGAGGTCACTCAAATGCTATTTTCTCCTGACAAAGAGAAAGAGTATTTTTCTCTCTTAGTGACTAATGACAGTGAGGGGAGAAAGGAACAAAAACCAGTAATTTTAAATGAAGTGTATCAGATACATCATTTTCTAAAAGCCTTTTTTCCCTTAACTCTGTGAGTCAATCTGTGTCTTCTCTGTCTTCCTATAAAGGAAGGTACACATTTCTTAAAGAAAGGAAAGGAAAGTACCACACAAAGTGAAACAGATAGTATCAGCTTTGCATCAGTTTTGGCAAAATAAGAATTCAGACAGTTTCAAGTTTGTAAAACAGAAAAGAGGATGGGAAGGGAAAAAAAGGGGGTGAATAATAGAGCAGGTTTTCAAAGCAGTGAAACCTCCACGTTAACTCCAGTGAAAAGAGGGGCAGTGAGAGATGTACTATTAATTTCTTTCTTTTAGGCTACCTGGTATCTCAAAGAAATTATGACTGTATAAACTGTAAATCTAGGCAAATTATTCAACAGAATTTATACAGTAAAATAGAGGAAAAGTGACCAGGAAAAGCAGGAAGTGGAATATATTTTAACCTGAGAGAGATTATCTATCCGAGGGTAGTATATCAATCACTTTCTTGTTATTGGGACAAAATACCTGACACCTGTAACTTAAAGGAGGAAAGGTCTGTTTTGGTTCATGGTTTTAGGGGATTTCAGTCCATAGTTGGCTGGCTCCAAGGCAGAAATACAATGGTGAAAAGGCATGGTGGAGGAAAGATGCTCAATCCATGGCATCCAAGAAGCAGAGAGAGAAGGCAGGAGCCAGGAAAGGACATACACCTTCCAAAGGCACGCCCCCAGTGACACACCTCTTCCAAACAGTCTCCACCGCTCACAGCACACTTAGCTATGAACTCGTCAATGGATCAAGGTATGATAGACATTGTGAAAGGAAAGGAAAATGCTCAACAGTAAAGAGCAACTGGGGTGAGGGAACAGAGAAAAGAAAGAAGGGGAAATTATATATGTATGTATATCCAGGATAGCTAACATAGTTGTACTACTGACTTCTATCACTTTACTGAAAGGAACAGTTAATGATTACTTATTTGATCAATCTTGCATGTCTCTATTTGTTTTCCTGAGAAACCACTTTGAAGATATACATAATATGACAACCATTGTTAGTTTCCTACCACTTTGGAACTCTGTATTGCTTGTATTTTTCTTATGCTATTTTGTAAATGGATGTGTGTTTGTTAATATGTTTTCCTTCTTTTATTTTTAAAATAAATTTTTAAAAAATGGATCAAGCCCCTAATGAGTATAGCGCCCCTACGATGTATTCTTCCAACAGCCCTACCTCTGAATACATGGGACTTTTGAGGAACATTCTAAATCTCAACCATAACAGGTAGATATGGGAGGGTAGGCAGAATAAAGGGCTCTAAACCTATAAGGGTGTTGGAAACTCTGCTTTAGAGCCCTAATAGTGTTGCCCCCTTCTTGGGTAAGAGGTCCCCATTGGCTCTGGAGAGATAGAAATGGCTACTAGAAGCCCAGAGGTGCTCCAGAGGTATGTAAGGAATGGGCTTCTTGAGTCTTTGCTCCAGGCTGGTTCTCTGGTCCCTCCTAGTCTCTTTTTGGCCTTGAGGGATAACTAGGCTGAGGTTTAAGTACAACAGAGTGGGGAGGGTAAGTCAGATGGTGATGGGCAGAGCATGGGAGGCTGAGCCTCCAAAGATCTCCACTTAGAGGTCAGGGGAGGTGGTGCTTGCAAAGTAAATTTTAGGGAGCGGGATGGAATAGAACAGCAGGCCAGGGAAAGGAGAGCTGATAGGGGTGATTTGGGAAGGAGAAGCACACCAAGGTAGGTACTGGGTGCAGCAGCTGAGGAATGCTGCACTGCACTTTCCCCACCCTCAAGGACGCAGTGATATTGGTGGGTAGCTTATCTCAGCGTCAAACATATGTAGGTAGCTTGCACTCTAACCTGACTGACAGTAGGAATACAAATCCTAGATTGCCCATCTTGAAGACACCCCCTTAAATATACTCAGCTCCATCTCCAAATGCATCTCAATTTCTTTTGAGTCCTTGCAGTCCACTTTTGGGTACATTCTGAAATTTCTGTCTAATAAATCCTTCTCATGTCTCTTACTGATGTATCCTGAAAATTCTTTTTTCCACAGCAGGAATCAGCAAACCTGCAAACTTACCCTACAAGGGTGGGATAGGTTCCTCATATCAGCCTCAGGGACTCTCAGACCAGCCCAGTGATAACATCACACACAGATCTTAAACTAGATGCTTATATATAATTGGGTTTCTCAAATGGGAGAAACCAGGCAATATTTCTGTGTCTAACTCTTACGGTTCCAGGATCCATTCCTTTTCTTACAAATGACTTGAATTCATTCTTATTTATGGCTGAAATATATATATATATATATATATATATATATATATATATATTCTTTTCCCATTTATAAATAAAGGGTAAAATAGAGGCAGACTTTTAGAGCAGGAAAAAGCGATGGGGAAGAGAGAGGGAAAAGGTAAGGAAAAGTAGGGAAAGGGAGGATAGAGAGGGTGAATGGGGATCAAAACCAATCAAGATATGTACTACTCGCCCACAATGAATATATATAATGTATTACAAGCATATACCAATAAAAATTGTATATATCTGTATATATCAATTGACAGAGAAGTCCATAAGATATATTGTTTGATTAAAATGTACAGTATAAACACCAATTATATTTGATCACATTTATCTATACAAGTATCTGAGAATACAGGTAAGGGGAAATAGAAATTCAATAAAGGGATAACAATGGTTAAACAGCAGTGTGACTTTTCAGGTAATTTGTACTTTAATTTTTGTATATTTCCCGATTTTTTTGAAGGCTAAACAGAGATTTTTTTTTCATAAACAGCATACAGTCACCAAAGTAAAACATACAGAGGGAATAGATCCTTAAGCAGGCAGAGGGAGGAGCAAAGACAGAGGTCAGGGCATCCCTCTCCACTGTGGTGATATGTAAGATGTCTTTTTCTTGCCAAAAGGAAATTACTCTGGATTAATTCATGTACTTTGGAGCCAACTTCCTTACTCCTGTTTTACCCATCAATAGCACTGTAAGTGGCTCAGAAGGTTCCTTGTGTTCTCCAGGGACTTCTTTTGACATCACTTCTGTATGTGTCAGCTTCTGCAGAATAAACAACCTGGGGCTTGTTGTTGCTTTCATTGTCACAGTTTTCCTTTGAGTGGACCTCCTAGCAACTGACAGTAGGTACAGTGGATTATGTGCTTTTACCTCCCGGTTCTACACATGACCCTAGGATCATTATTCTTATGCCCAGAACCACTGGGCAAAGGAGATTGAGCCTTGAAATTGCTGACAGAATAAATAACCAAACAGATCCCATGATCTGTTTCTTCTTCCAAGGACCGGGATAGCTAAAGATGAAAGTAGAGGATCCCCAGACTGCCAGGATCCCATCTTAATCTGAGTCATCAAGGATATGATCTATTTCTATCACGTTGCAAGTGCAGTCAGCACTGCCAATCAGTAATGGGTGGGAAGCCTGAAATGGCACGTGGCTGCCTGCTGTCTCTATCACTGGCTCCGATCTTTTGGGCCACTTCTGTTTAATAGAAGTGTCACTCCAATCCTCTTCCTCCCTTATCATTCTGATCAACTCCAGGAAACTGGGAAGCTGCTCCTGCTTCTTGATTGTGCATATCCTAAGAAGATGTTTATACCTGAAGCATAGGCCCTTATTCATCTCAGCTCCTGCCAGGAGCTGGTGCAGGCGAGTGTGGTTTGTAATTTTCTCAGCTAGGGTGCCTGCTTGAATGGTATTCTGCAGCTGCACCTCTAAGTGGACCACATAAAAGGTCCTCTCCCCTTGCACATGCATGGTGTTAAATTTACTATGAGTACTCATACTGCTTTCAGGTTCGTCACCCAAACGCTAGCTTCAGTGCGTACTAAAAAGTCAGCACATTTAGGGTGAGGTTGACAGCATGGAACAAATGCATGGCCTCTCAGGCAGAGTCCCTAAGGGTTTTCATTAAGCACTTCAACTTTTGTTCTTCTGACATACTCCAATCTGGCAGGACTCCCTTGACTTGAGTCAGCCAGTTTTAAAAGGTTCATTACCTCTAGGCTCAGTACCACCCTACCAGAGAACAACTTCATGTTTCTTTCTGTCATATGGATTATGAAAGGACTGAGGTTCCATTCCAGAGACCTCGTCATGGAATGGGCCCATGGTGGCAAGGGTGCTTTTGGCCACTGTCTATTACTCACACATGCAAGGATGCTAGCCATGTCTGAGAACAATAGGGCATCTGAACACAGGATGGCCCGGCTTTTCTTTTTAAGCCTAATATGCAAGAATATCCAAAGCAGTGTTCCTGGATTGTGCCTTCCCTCTGTCAGTAGGAACTGTAAGAAGGGGGGAAAAAAAAGTCAAAACCTAGTGGGAAAGTGCAGGAACCCATCTGCTCTGGAATTCTCTACCCTCTTGAATACCCTGCAGTGCATTTTATATCTACCTACTGCACTAAAACTATCCTTCAGGAAATCGGCAATCACCTTTTTCAGGAAGGTTAGCAACTGTTGCTTAGAAGTCTTTGAAGCAGATATTGAGCTCTCAAAATAGGGCACAATATTCTAAGTCTCAAAGATTTATGGTAATAAGATCTCCATTAACCTCATGGTCTTAGGTCTCAACCACACTCCTCAAAGTTTTCTTTTATTTCTCAGATTCTTACAGGAGCTCAGAAACTACTTCTCACCTTTATTTTACTTTCAGCCATTGCAGCTGGTGCCCTCCATGAGAGAGAGCTAGCCTCCTGATGTGGTCACTTCTGTCCACAGGAAGTCTAAGATCAGGCTGCTCAAGGCATTGGGACTGCACCATAGCTCAGGGAAGCGGTCAGAAACAGCCTCATTCATTACCCTGCTATCTCCCTCCACTGTGGCCAGGCAGAAAATTCCCTATCCCACCTTTTGGATAGAAGCCACAATTCTCCCCATTAATTTCCCTTCCGGAAACCATTAGCCTACCAGCTGTGCAATCAGCTGCCCAGAATTCCAGTTTAGAGTAGCTCTGGTGGGCTGTCACTGAGGAAGGGATTAGCAGCTGGTCACGCTCCTTCATCCGTAATTCTTCCCAAGAAGAGAGGAGCTGCAAAGGGGGTTTGAGACAGACAGCTTTTAAGTTTTCTGCCACCTCCCAGAAAATGCTCCCCTCCCCAGTCCAGGCAAATCCCACCCAGTGGGCAGCATCCACGTGAACTCTCCTCCTTTTTCAGCGTAGGTGGACCATGGGAGTACTTCTTCACCTGCCTCGCAGTGACCGATTTTGCACACCAAGAACTGCCCTCAAACTGGTGGAGCTTCACCCTCCCACGCATTTGCGTCCGCCTTTCTTTACCTAGCCTCTGCAGGTTGGCGGCGGGTGATAGGGTGTCACGGATGCTTAGGTGTCACAGATAGCTGTGGTTCTCCTTCCGGTCTCTGAGGTCCTGCAGGGGAAAAGGATGGCTCCTCCTCCATCGCTAACCAAGTCAGGGCTGCCCCAGCGAGCTAGCTTTCAGCACCGCTGCCCGGCAAGGGGTAGCAGAGTCCTGGCAGCTCGGTTTCCAAGGCAGCCACGACTGCCCCCGCCCTCCATTTCCGCCCGCCCAGTAGCAGTGGCTGCTTTTAGCCTGTGCCCATTGAGACAAAAGAGCATGATGAGCCCAGTGGTGCGACCAATCAGCGGGGCGCAGGGGTGCCTCCCCGCGCAGCCTCTCGTCTCAAAGCTAATGCTGAGAGGAGAGGGGGAGCCGGCCTACCGGGCTGCGGCCGACGGGCGCGGGAGTTGGCGTGTAGTCAAGTGCAGCTCGGAGGCACCAACCCGGCCCATTTTACCCGTGAGTTTGTTGCTTCCCCTCGCTTTCCTTCTTCTTATTCCCCTTCCGCCTCTGCTCTTCTCCACTCTGAGACCGAATGCGTTAAACACGAGGTGGGACAGAAAACAAGTGAACAATGAGAGTTCTTTACCTTTGTATAGGGGGAAGGGAAAAAAGCATTTGCTTAGCGTTTTCCGCGAGCAGATGCCCTTGCGCAGACATCTCATTTATTCTCAGCAGCCTTCCGAAGGACGTAACACTTTGTCCATTCACCAGAGAGGGGTTCGTAAGCATCCAGGCAGCATGCTTAGGAAGTGCAGAGCCAAGTGCTCACACTCAAGACATCAGGTCTAACTTCAAAGACTGCCCCAGGTAAGCACTCCTCTGTGGGGTCAGATGAAGTGTTAGTGGAGAAAAGCCAAAGCAAGATGGGAGGACTCACTAGGGGCCATGTAGAATTACTGAGCAAGCAAGGACTACTATCTCCATTTTAAAGATGAGGAAACAGCCACAGAAACCTTGGGCATCCTGCCCTGTATCTTACAGCAAATAAGTAACAGCATCTGATTTTGCACACCGGTCTCTTCTGTTGGTAGCATCTCTTTGCCCAGCAGTGCCACCCGGGCCGCGTTTTACATAGGTAGCCTTTAATCTTCCCAGTGGCCATCTTGATGTGATGAGTGTTGAGGGAAGTATGAGAGAAGAGGAAGGGAACCTATATGGTACCCATTGTACAGAAGAGAAACTGAGGCAGCTTTCTTTCCCATTTTGTTTTCATCTTTATACTAGAACAAGGTGCCTGTTTATAAAAGTAACATTTCTAAACTGGGTGGGGTGGTGCACATCTATAATACTAGCACTTGGGAGGCTAAGGCAGGTGAATCACTGAGTTCGAGGCCAGCCTGGGCTTCATAGTGAGTTCAAAGCCAGTCTGAACTGCGTAAGAGAGACTGTCTCAACCCCCCGCTCCAAATTTTTCCAGTAGTCCACTATGATACCAAAGAGATAAGGCTCAGAGAAGTGAAATGACTTACCTAAAATTACATGGTGATCTCAAAATTTGGACTCAGTCTCTCAATCCAGAACTCAAGCTATTGACTAGGGATCTAACTCAGCAGCCAGAGCACCTGCCCAGCAAGCACAAGGTCCTGAGTTCGATTCCCAGTAAAAAAAAAAAAAAAAAGAAAGAAAGAAAAACAAGAATCCTCACACTTTTCTTTTTAAAGAACTCGCACTATTAACCAAAGTATTGGTACCGAAGTAATTTTGGAGACTTTGTTAGAAAGGCAGATTACTGAGCCGCACCGCTGGTAATTTTGATTTACTAGAGGAGTGTGTTTTGTATTTTTAAACATTGCTGGAGTTGATTCTGAGGTGTACAGAGATTTGTGAACTAACTGTTCTAAACACCATATCATGCTGAAGTTTATAAGAAAATGGGCCTGCCACCAATGTATCTGTCCACAGCATATCTGTCAAGAAGTGTAACTCTGGAACAGTTTCCTATCTGGGCTCTATTCTGAAACTTTGAATTCTATGCATTTTTCTGAGTCCACAGCTTTGTTGGACTCAGCCATAGCTCAGATGTTCAAGTGAGTATGTTGTCCCCAAACGGCTAAGAACCACTCTGCTATAAACTTTCTTCATAACATTTTCCTCCTGCAACTCTTGCTTGAGGAAGAAGTATGAGAAATGAAACACCATTTGACCTAACCCCCACGCTACAGCTCTCTGCCGCTGATATGGCTCTTTCATTTCCTGGCTCAAGGATACGTTGCTAGGTTGCCCTTCTGTGAGCTCTTCAGGGGACTTCTCCTTTGCTGGACTTGGCATCACTGGCCCCAGAGAAGGAGCAACTCCATGGAAACGGCATGCAGGGCTGTCCAGAGCAAATGGGCGATGAAGCCAGTGGCTAGAAAACCTGTTCCATTTTCCCTGCCTTTGAGTTCTTAGAGAGCAGGTATTACTTCTTTGGCATAAACTGTGGCTAGGAGCCCCCTGTGCGGCTTCTTCCTGACTCCCAATGCTTAAAAGTGAGAGAAGAATCTGGTGCCCTTCAACTCCTGTTGCTTTCATTTTCACCCTGTTGAGGTGGTTCACCTCTTCCTTTCTATCTTCTTGTTTACAACTCCACACCTAGAATTCCTCAGAGTAAGCAGTCCATAGTTGGAGAGAGCATCTTCCATCACAAGGTTGTGGCCTTCTTCTTGTAGACAGAACAGAGAGATAGTGCTAATGGAGGGCGGAGAGGTGGTAGAGGGCAGAGTGCTGGTGGAGGATGCAGACTGCTGGTGGAGGGTGGAGAGTGTTAAGAGGCACAGAGAAGGCCAGTTGCTCACCTTGTAGTCAGAGGTGAGGCTGGCAATAGTTCTTGGTTTTCCTTCAGACTTTTGCTTCTGCTTGCCAGTGCCATGGATCTCCCACTGGCCTTTCTTGTTCTGTATTTGGAAAATCACCACATTAGGTATCTGCAGTTGGAGCTGGTGACGTTGGAATCAGATAGGACCAAAATACCTACAGAAATTCAGAGTTCTGATAAAAATACTGAAAGGGAGTAGATTGGGCGAAGGTTGGGCCATTAGAACAAAGTAAGGGTGTCTTTGAGCAGGATTGAAAAGAACATTTGCAAATTTGCAAGCTAGCTCCAACTGGATACAGAGCAGCAGCCCTTATCTATGGCCTCATGTGTGGGAGTGTGTCCTAAACGATGGTTCTAATGAGATCACATTTTCCAGTTTCAACAAATAAAGTTTAAAAGCATAGAGGTTATGAGATAAAGCTTTCAAATGAAAAAATAATAGCTACTTTTGGCTGCCTGCCTCCTCTGTTCCAGGAACTTTTCATCTTCTATCTCATTTAAGCTTCTGAGCAACCCTGTTGAAACAGACACTTGATTGATTGTAAATGTGGGAGGCAAATCACAATGTTCAAGTGATAACTGCTCGAGACCAACTCTAGGCACATTCTTTACTTTGGATTTCATGTTAAGGGGCTGGGCTCTCCTAGATTGTTTAAATTGCACTTTCACTTCATTTGAGACAAGTTTTCCCTACCTTCCATAGGAAGATAGATTTTGTTCCAGTATGACATTTCATCTGGTTTTGGCTGGCCTGAGTATCGGTAGGAACGTGTGCTCAGGGAGGACAGGTAGGCAGGATGGGAAGCATCTTTTTTCATACATTGTATTACAGCCACCAAGTCATGGGTTCTCAACCCTTTATCCCATTTCACCTTATTAATCTTTGCAGTGACCTTTTCTGATAGGTCTTATTGTCCCCGTTTTGTAGCTGAAAAATCTGAGACTGAGTGAACCTTGCGTCTTGTCTGAGGTTACATGGCTCAGCAGGTAGTGGAGGCAGAATTCAGTCTCAGATGTGCCTGCCCCCAACACATCTCAACAGAAGAATACACAAGAAAACAATGGGTTTCGTTTCCCCTATAAAATAAAAAGAATTAGATTTATAAAATAAAGAGTTAGATATTAAGGTAAGGTGTTTCCAAATTATTATTCACCTTTCATCCCTGAAAATGATTTGCATGAATGGCAGAAGGAGTCAGGGGTAGAAAAGTACACTGTCTCTATCAACTATTGCTCAGAATTACTTTGCATCAACCCCTTTGACATTATAACGTTATGAGGATGCTTACAGAATTCACGGCTGCTGATTTGATAGCTGAAGAGGATGAGGCTCCAGTGAATTTCTAAAGGTCATATAGAAAGCTGATAACATCACTGGTGCTTAGAATGCTGGTCTGCCAAGTCCTACTGATTTTTATAATGCTAAATTGGCCTGCATTGGGAAGTCAGTGAACACGTGTTCATAAAATGCCAAGGATGGAGTGGAATATGACTGCACTCTGAGGTGGAAGAGGAGACAAGCATTTATCTCACTACCCCCGCTTGTTTAGGCACTGGTATGAGTTGGGAAGGGAGATTGTTGGTAGGAGAGCGAGAGTTTGAGGCCCCTCTTACCTTCCAGACAATAGAATGCCCTGAACTGAGTGTTCATTCTTTTCTTTGTTTTGAGACAAGACCTGGCTCTATTGCACAGTCTGGTCAAACTTCTGGGCTCATGTGATCCTCCTGGCTTAGCCTTTCAAGTTCTGGAACTACAGTGTGTGCCACAATGCCTAGCTCTTTTTTTATTTTGTTTTGTTTTTTGATCGCAAAGTTCCCCCATGTGTCCAGCCTCCAAGTTGCTTCTCACACTACCCAACCTGCTTCCAGACCTTTCTGGGATAGAAACAATCGTTTAGTGTCTTTATACTGCTTTTTATCTCTAGTACTAGGATGCTGAACCCAGAAGAGTTTTGCATCTCAAGGAACAAATGGCCATGTCTGGAGATTTTTTTTTTTTTTTTTTTTTTTGGTTTTTCTCCGGTACCGGGAACCGAACTCACGACCTTGCACTTGCCAGGCAGGCGCTTTTGCCGCTGAGCTAAATCCCCAGCCCCTGGAGATATTTTTGATTGTTGCATTTGATAAGTTTCCACTGATGCTGCTGGTATGCAGTGAGTAGAAGCCAGAAATGCCATCAAACATTTGCCAATGCACAGGCCAGGCACTGATAATAAAAGTGTCATCCTACCTAAAATGTCAACAGTGCCAAGGTTGAAAAAACTGCCATCATATGCCTACGAGCCTAAAAGGTTAGGCTTGGAAATGCCAGGTGCTGAGCCTCCTAGCAATGAGCAGCTGCTCTTTCCTGCCCCCAGCTGGGGGAGGAGATGGGACAGTGCCATGAGATAGGTGCAATTTGGAGCAGAAATCTACAGAGGGAAGAGGGGGAAGATTGAGCCCTCCTCAAATTTACTACCAATTTCTAGAGAAAGTACTGCACTACAACAGTTGAGCATCTTTAAAAAACGTTTTGAGGTATAGGGTTATAGCTCAGTGGTAGAGTGCTTGCCTCACCCAAGGTTCAATCCCTAGCACTGTAATCAACAATAACCAAAATTTTTTGAAAAGGAGATAGAACTTACTAGCTTAGTGGTTTATAAAATTTGAAGTTTTATGCAATGAAATTTGAATATGATGTATTTTGGAGTCCTCTTTCCCTGATTTAATGGGTTTTAGTAATGATTCTTTGAATTCTGGAATATTTATGTATCAGTAAAATACTGTAGAGGTGACTTAAAAACTAACTGCCTTTAAGGTTGATTTTTTTTTTTTTTACAATACTGTGGATTGAACTCAGGGACATTCTACCACTGAGCTACATCCCTGGCCCTTTTAATATTTTTTATTTTGAGACAAGATCTTGCTAAGTTGCTCATATGAGGCTCAACTTGTGATCGTCCTGCCTCTGCCTCCTTAACACAGGCATGCACTACGATGCCTCAGGTTCATGTGTTTTTTAAACAAATGTATTTTTACATGTTAAATGTATTGGTATATGTTTGTGATACATAATAAATACATTCATCATATGGAGTTGGTACGTAAACATACGGCAACTTGATCTTTTTTACTTCCGCTTCCCCCTCCTTCCCATTACCCCCCCCTCAGATCCTTTTCCCATCTACACAAAGTCTATCTCCTTATTTCCTCTTATCTTTTATTTTGCTCTTTAAATTATTTATACTCTGAGTTTCTCACATAAGAGAAACCATGTGATATTTATGCTTGTGTATCTGATTACTTCCACTTATCATGGTCCCAAGGTGCATCCATTTTCCTACAGATGAGTCCTACTTATTACGCTTCAGAGCCGTACACCCTTGTGTATAAAGACCACATTTTCTTTATCCACTCATCTGTTGATAGGCACATAGCCTACTTCTAAGATTTCGCTATTGTGAGTTGTGCTGCTCTAAACATGGATATGCACGTATCACTGTAATATAATGTTTTAAACTCTTTTGAGAAGATGCCCAGAAGAGGTAAGGATGAATTCTTAAGGTCTTAAGAAGATGCCCGCAGAAACTGGCCCACAGGGTTACTTGTTTCCTTATACCAGAGTTTCTCAGGGCCCTGCTTCTAACCAAGCAGTGAAAATGCTTGTCAGCACACGTAAGTCATCATGTGATATTTACATCAGGCTAACCTCTCTTCCCCCTCTTGCCAGTTTGTTCCATCGGTACCCAGTTGTCTTCAGCATGAGGGAGCAGAACCACTCTGCTGGGAAGGAACTTCAGCACAGGACACAAGCAGAAGCTCCAGGAATAAAAAGCTGGAACTCTCAGGCCTACACCCTTGGGGCCATTTCCAACTTTATGTCTACTTTTCTGACTTTTCCCATCTATAAAGTTGTGTTCCGGCAGCAGATCCATGCTGTGGCAGTGTCAGAGGCTGTGAGACAGCTTTGGCATGAAGGCCCTCAGTACTTCTACAGGGGAATCTACCCGCCTCTTCTTTCCAAGACGCTGCAAGGGACTCTACTGTTTGGGACTTACGACAGTCTGCTGTGCTGTCTCTCCCCTGTTGGGCCACACTCCCTGAGACACCGCTGGGCTGCAGGATTCATGTCTGGTGTGGTGGAGGCTGTGGCACTGAGCCCCTTGGAAAGAGTGCAAAATGTGCTCCAGGATGGTCGCAAACAAGCTCGCTTCCCCAGCACCTTCAGCATTCTCAAAGAATTCAACTCTTACGGTTTTTGGGGACGGCTGTCACTGGGCTATTACCGTGGTTTCTGGCCCATCCTTGTTAGGAACAGCCTGGGGAGTGCCCTGTATTTCTCTTTCAAGGATCCCATCCAGGATGGCTTGGCAAAGCAAGGCCTGCCCCATTGGGTTCCTGCCTTGGTGTCTGGTAGTGTCAATGGAACAATCATTTGCCTAGTTTTGTATCCTCTGATTGTGCTAGTTGCAAATATGCAGTCCCATATTGGCCGGCAGAGGATGCCAAGCCTGTGGGCCTCTGTGCAGGATGTGTGGGACACTCGGGGTCGAAAGATACTTCTGATCTACCGAGGAGGTTCTCTGGTCATCCTACGGTCCAGTGTGACATGGGGGCTCACCACTGCCATCCATGACTTCCTGCAGAGGAAGTCTCACTCCAAGAAAGAGCTGAAAGACTGATTAGCTGCAGGCAGTGTGGTCATGACATCTTGGTTCTTCTAAATCTTTCCTGGTTAGTTTCCATATAGCTTTATTCTTTAGGCTTGGTTACCTAATACAGGCATTCTTTAGCATCTGTCAATTGTCGTTGCATGGGAGAAGTTTCCAGCTATCAGCCTGTTGGGCACAAACAGAGCCTAGCAGCATTCCTTGGTCAGAGAGAGAAAGTTACTCCAGTCTACTCCCAGCTTCAATAGCCTCAGAGCCAGGAGGCCCTTAAATAACTTGTAACCCAGATTGAATGCCATTCCTTTAAGGGATTTCTTAATAAGAGGAAGCTTAAGAAGATGACCATTTTGAGTTTTTGTACCCCTTCATGTATCTTTCAAGTCAAACTGAGTAGAACTCCATTTCAAAGAATGGTTCTTGAATCTGAGGAGTCCATACAACTTCTCAGATGGCTACACTTTCATGATGTTGTTCGGTGTCCCTCCCACAGTCGCTCTCGCATCTTCAGACTACGGTCCTAGTTTCAGGGTAGCAGCTGTGACTGGAAATCCTAAACTGGCTTGTTTCACTCCTTGGGTGCCATAAGAATAGGTGGGGCTGGAGATGGGAGTGAGCAGAAATGTGGTCCTGGTTAGAAAGAATAAAGACTTTCAAGGGTGACATTTACTTATGTGCAAAAATAGGAAAATTTATTTTAGGTTGCTTATTTTTATCTGCTAGGGCATTTTTGATGGCAAGATGATTTCCTTGCTGAGAACCTGCTTGAGTTTCCCTAAGAAATCTGGGAGTGAAATGACCATATCTATTCACAGATAATTGCATATTTTGTTGATGTGGATGTATTACTATGACATAAAGATTAGAAATCTTAAACTGACTTTCAGAGCTATTCAAAATATGGTCCCCATATAATTTTCAACATATTATCACACAGCTCCCACTCTCACGGACCCCATACGTCAACCGAAATGAACTGTTGTCCTCTCTCCCAACATGCCGTGAACTTACCCATGCCGATACTTCGACTCATACTATTTTCTCCACTTGCAGCTCTCCTTATTTTGACCATTCTGCCAAGGTTCTTCTGGTTCCTAAAGTCTAGTTCAGACCCCACCTTCTCTGAGTCTTTTCTCTATTTTTCCCAACAGAATGTGACATTAGTCTCTTACTATTTCCCTTTACAAAAGCACATCAGCATGCCACTGATTCCATTATGTCACTGACCCATGTGGCCTTGTGTTTTTGATGTTCTTCAATACCTCCTAGTAGACTGTAAAACTTTTTGAAAGCAGGGATTCTTATATGCATTTTTAAATCCTCCATTGTGCCTAGGTGCTCAAAAATGTTGGTAAATTTTGGAATTGATTATGAAGCTGTGATATGGTCTGTATCCTCAGGGTGTTGTCCCTTCTACATGAAGACAATGTTACTGAATCAATGTCAGCAAGACACATACCTTTGGGGGTGTGTTTTGTTTTCTTTTAATAATGCACTAATTTTATGCTAACAATCATAATGCCATGATGATAATACTAATAATAAAAATTACTTTAACTGGAACATTTGATGAGTGTATT